TTAGGTTAGTTGATGTAAGTGAATGAACTTCTCTTGATATCTGGGAGTGTCAGTGCTAGCAACAAATCAGATCTCTGCTCTGGTGCACATCTCTTCAAAAGGAACCGGCAAAGAGGAGGAGAGAGTGGAATGATGACCCATCAACCTGCTCCGATCAGCAACCTGAGGGGGTGTGTCCTTGACCAATCTGTGCTGCTGCTCCACCGGAGGTCTAGAATCTGGCTGCCCTGCCTGATGTGGCTGTGTGTAGATCACAAAACCGGCTGTGCAGAACTGCCAACCCTTCAGTTCCTGCGTACGTACGTATTCCAGCTTTCAGCTGCTAGCCCCGGAGTTCATCCTGAAATACGATCGAGCACAGACGCCCTGACTGTGACATCACGTCAGCCCCATTCTGTGATGTCACCGCTTTGAAATCCCCTTATTGCTAAACTCGTAAATATCACATGATCACGCGGTGAGTCATCGGCAGCAGCTGCTGGTGACTGTGCGACACTCGGAGAGCCGAACCCGCGTAAAATGATGCAGATTTTCCCCATGCAAAATAATAATAAAAAAAAAAGGAGTCATTAAACGTCCTCCAGCTTTAGAGGGTGCGGACTGTCTGGCTGGGGTGCAGAACACCCAATTTACGACGATCTGGACGTATGCGAGGACTGCCAACTGGCTGATGTGAAGGTTCGGCGCTCAGGACAAACATGCCAACCTAAAAGTCATGGTACGCATGCACAGATGTGGTCCTTGTAGAATCAAGCTAGGCGGTGATGGGATGCAACATGGCATCGGAAGATGAGGATCAATTGGAGCAATGCTGAAAAACACTTAAAGTGCATGTCCCGTACAATACCTCTCTGCAATATATCCACGTTCATCTGTGAGCTTCTAAAGTCCTCTCTGAGCAAACAAAACTCTGCTTCTGCTACACTGAAATACCAAGGAGTGTTATTGGCCCCATCGGAATTCTCCGCTCCAGGACTACTTAACATAAGAGGGATGTACTCTGTAGTCCACCGGGAGAAACCTCAGCCAGGGCTGACAACGCTGCCTCTGCTGCACTGGAATCCCAAGCAGTGTTGTCAGCCATGCTTGAGGTTTCTCCCGGTGGACTACAGAGTACATCCTCCCAGGAAGTTGGGAGCTCACTGCAGGAAGATGTGAGCTTGCTGGATTTCTGGCAAATCAACACTTGTATTATTGTACTTGCAGCATATTTAAAGGAGAAGTATTGGGAGAGATTGAGAACTGAGCGATCACAAACTGCTGATCGTTCAGTTCACGGTCTTCTCCATGCAGGAGAGAGACTGTCACTCCCCGCAGGGATTCACACCTCCCCTCTCTGTTCCTTCAGCGCTCATTGGAGGGCGCTTGGTGATGATCGGCATTTTTGAAAATTGCTTCTAAATTCCCAATATCTGCCCCGTAATACAAATGCATATTAAAGTGATATTAAAGTCAACAGGTTTTTAGGCTATTTCAATGCTGATGAAATCACTTACAATGGACGCTGCTTCTTGATGTTTAAATGTTTAATTTCCTGAGCACTGGCCCTGGTATCCTGTTTTAGGGTGACTCCTTGCCCTTACAGGGTCCTATGGAGCCATGTATGGGTTTCCTCCGGGTACTCGGGTTTACCCCAAAGACATGCTGGTAGGATAAATCTGTCTAGATTGGTCCTAGTATATATGTGCCATAGGGACCTTAGATTGTAAGACTCCTTGGGGACAGGGACTGATGTGAATGTGTAGTATTTAAATCAGAAATGTCACCAGCAAATCAATGGACGACGTCCAAAATAAAGCGTCTTTTTTTCACGCATATGGTCAGGTCAAAAATGCAACGTTTCGGGGGCCACGCAGGGTCCCCTTCATCCCAGTCATATTAAGACAGTGTGTTATGTTAAAGGGTATGCCCCCCCCCCCAATGTTAGTGTAAGGACTTACCTTAAATCATGCCTCTTTATCCGATCAATTTCTTCCTTTACATCTGTCCCTCCAGCGCTGGTGCGGGTCTCTGATCCAGCACTGACCCCTCTGTCCTCCTCTTCTCTGATGTCCCACGGAGTCTGTGTCCTCCTCTTCTCTCATGTCCCACGGTGTCTGTGCGGGTCTCTGATCCAGCGCTGACCCCTCTGGCCTCCTCTTCATTGATGTCCCACGGTGTCTGTGTGGGTCTCTGATCCAGCGCTGAGCCCCCTGTTCTCCTCTTCTCTCATGTCCCACGGAGTCTGTGAGGGTCTCTGATCCAACGCTGACCCCTCTGTCCTTCTCTTCTCTCATGTCCCACTGTGTCTGTGCGGGTCTCTGATCACGCGCTGATCCCTCTGTACTCCTCTTCTCTCATGTCCCACAGAGTCTGTGAGAGTCTCTGATCCAGCGCTGACCCCTCTGTTCTCCTCTTCTCTGATGTCCCACGGTGTCTGTGCGGGTCTCTGATCCAGCGCTGACCCCTCTGTCCTCCTCTTCTCTGATGTCCCACGGTGTCTGTGAGGGTCTCTGATCCAGCGTTGACCCCTCTGTCCTCCTCTTCTCTGATGTCCCACGGTGTCTGTGTGGGTCTCTGATCCGGCGCTGACCCCTCTGTCCTCCTCTTCTCTCATGTCCCACGGAGTCTGTGAGGGTCTCTGATCCAGCACTGACCCCTCTGTCCTCCTCTTCTCTCATGTCCCACGGAGTCTGTGAGGGTCTCTGATCCAGCACTGACCCCTCTGTCCTCCTCTTCTCTCATGTCCCATGGTGTCTGTGCAGTTGCACGCTGCTCCATGGACTTATCTTGTGTCTCTCCTCGTCTCCCGGCCAAACATCTGAACTGCGCATGAGCCCGTCCCAAGATCTGCGGCCGCCCGAGACTCTTCAGATGTTCGGACGGGAGCGTGCGGTGAAGACGCAGGTAAGTATTAACCTGTTTCAAAAGGGTTTTGTTTTTTTTAAAGTTTTGCTGGCAGTAGATATATGCAAAAAAATTTGAGGGTTTAATAACCATTTAAACCTGATGAAGGGGACCCTGCGTGGCCCTGAAACGTTGCATTCTTGATGTGACAATATGCGTGAATAAAAGACGTTTTATTTTGGATGTTATCCATTGATGTGCTGGGCGCGTACACTGTGATGCGCGGCGCCATCCGCAGTCACTTCAGCACCCATCTTTCAACATTCGGTAAGGAATGCGGCAGTTATCTACAACTATGTCTAGTATGTAAAACGCGTAAATAGTCAGCGCCATATAAACACCAATAATAAATCAAATCGGATGACAATATGGTCATTGCTTAGGAAACACAGCGCTCAGAGCAAAGTGAACCCCACTCAGTCAGGGTTTACATCTACGTGGATGTTGTTTGCTACAAATTCTTTATTATCTGTCCAAAAAAAGGAATTTTCAGCACTCGGAAAACTTCTGTCACCGTTGAGCGAGAAATGCCCAACCGGAGTTATCTTTATATCTGTCACGACAAACATAACACTTGTTCATAACATTAAAAAGCGAGCAGCCAAAAGCCTGCACGCTGCACACCGAACGCCCTTCCCTCGCTCATTCCCCTTAGCCAAGTCGCTCTTTTGAAGCCGGCCATCATCTGGTTTCAGCCTCTCTGGCACAGAAGGGGTTCTGGCAAGCAGCTCGAAAAGATGTTATTATGCCGCCTAATGGGACTGTGTCCATTCACGCTTCATGTTGCAGGGTGAATCACCGAGGGCCTTGCTTTGAACTCTTGCTGAGCTCCCCAGCTTCCTGCTCCCTTCTCATCCTATACAGTAATTACGACTTCAAAGGAGAGAACAAACCTGTCAGGTCATGTACAGTCCCGTAGACTGCCGGGACGGTTGTCTGCGCTGCAGACGTGCACCTGAAAAACAACGCGCTCGGCTGCGCGGCTCTCGGCACGCCGAGAGACGGCAGCTTGCGGGAGTGCTCAGGCAATACAAGGGGAGGCATACCGTCAAAAAGTCTTTACACAAAGAAATAAAAGCTTTGCTACATCCGCACAGAAGAAAAAACAAATCCAACTGCAGCGATTTTAAATTTTAAACACGTAAATCGCAAATACGATTCTAAGTCGTCACCGGGTCTGCCACTCACAAGTTCGGTTGACCACCACCGATAACCTGACAGCTTCCACAATTGAAAGGTGGAGTTAAAACGGAATCAAAATGAGAAAAGAAAAAAAAACACCAATTGCGCCGAAAGTGACCGGGTTTCCGTTCCGTAACTTTCCAATTCCAACCCAAAAATGGGTAGGAAACACCCCCCCCCCCCCCCCCCCCACGAAGCCGATGTGTTTAAATAATCCAGAGCTGTCTTGCTCATTTTCTCTTCAACAAACTAATGAAATTTGAGTTTCAAACGAAGAATATAAATCCCTAAATGGTCCTTAAAACAAACAATTTCTGCGATTTCTGTTAAAAACGCTTTTAGTTACCGACCGCAAGTTGCACTTTTGTAAGCAATTCACCGACGGCACAACAGGACGGGGAAGGGAAGGTGTGCTTGAAGGAACCAAAGGGCCCCCTACTTAATCAGGGTGACGCACAGCACATCCTAACGGGGAGATCCTTCCAGCCGTAGGAAATGATCGCATTTGTTGATCAAACGCGATCATTTGTAGGGAAGTATTCTGGAAAATTAATTGTAAGTGATAAGTCTTTTTTTGGATTGGCCGTAAGTGGACGTTTGGGTATTGATCACCAATCTAGTCGTCAACACAGAAAGACCCAGATAATAGCACGCCCTCCCTTAGCTTCCTGTTGGCTTTGAGTGGGTACCGACAGGGCTCTGTGCTTCCTATTCATTGAGGAGAGAGTATAACCAGACAGGTTATGGTGGGGTGGACTAAAAGGAACCAAATAACCCACCTCAAAGCCAAGTGCCAAGCACAATAGAGCCTTCTGAAGACTGAACTTCTCCAGATATCTCATTTACATCCCAAATCCCCAAATTAAGGGGTTTTTATATCCGACCCACCCCTGCCCTAGAACGAATTATAGGACTGACCCTTTGGTACTTACCTAGGTTGACAAAACTCATGACCATGTCGGCATCATTGAGGAAGTTGCTGTCTTGCTGGATGGCCAGCGGCGGACCCTGCGTGGTGAAGATGGGCTTATACGGGTACGAGAACCCCTCAGCTTCTTCCTCCTCCACCGTCATGGCGTTGTACAAATCCAGCATGAACATGGGGGCCGAGTTCTGCTTCCCGTACAAGTGCGGCCGCGGTCTGTGCGGCAGCCCCAAGATGGACAGTATCTCCCTCTGCATCTCCCGGCGCTCCTGGCTGCGCAGCCTTCTTTGGATGAAGCTGGAGTGGACCTCATTGTCCAAGGTGAAGTCGGCCAGGATGGACCTCAGCAGCAGGTAGCCGTAAAGCAGCGCGGACGTGGTCTTGGTCTTTAGAAAAACATTCATTTCCCCTGGATGCGTAGGGCGAAGCTCGGAGCACCTGCAGTTCTATCCGAAGGGGAGCTCATAAAGAGAGGACCATGAAGCCAAAGCGGAGCATGGACTTGGAGAGCGGACCCTGTCCGGGGCTTGCTGGTGGCTTCCTGAGCATCAGCTAAAGCCGGCCATCTCGGCAGACTTTTTTTGGCAGGGTGTCCGAGTAATGCAGGAGTGGTAAAAGCTCCGCCGTTTGCCTCCTTCAGAACCCAACGAGTCTGCCCTGTTCCTTTGCAAAGTGTAACTGGTGGTTTGTGAATGCAGAGGCAGCAGGAGGCTGAATGTGATGGGAGGGGAATCTGGGAGGAGGGAGTAAGAGCAAAGAAAGAAAGTTTGGTGCACTGCAAGATACCACCAGGTTGCTTTTCTGGATGTTCAGAACACTAAAGCTGTAAAGAAAAAAAAAAAGTAAGGATAGGCAGAGTCCTAATGATTAATTTAAAGTAAACAGATTAGGGATGATCTGCGTCTCCTCTGCTTGTCTAAGGTCAGCGCTGCTGCTGCTTGCTAATGGGAAGGCAGCAATTAACATCGCTTTCATCTGCTGCAAGAATAGGAGGTGGTTGTCTGAGCGGCGGGCAGAACAAGAGAAGCAGCTCCAGTCCAGGGCGGATGGTGCCCCCATGCTGTGCTCACAGATAAGGTCATGGGTACAACAGATTAAACAACGCAGCCTTACCCAGGACAATCCCAGGCAGGACCAGACCAGCATAGGTGACTGTCGTAACATTCGCGGTCCGAAAAAATCACTCATAAGAAGGAAAAAAGGTAAAAGAAATTGTCGTTTGCAGATTTCTTGAGAAACAATTGAGCAATGGGGGGGAGGGGGGGGGGCAGTACAATATAAAAGACATGCGTTGCTGTTCAAAGCTAAAACAATTGGGAAACACTTACAGATCACTCGATTGTTGTAGCAGTCACATCAAATTATCACCAAATAATCGCTACCCATGTACCTTGTAAACGAAACCTTCCCCCCTGGAACTGACCCTCCCTGTAATCCTAATAATAACACTCCCCCTCAGTCTGTAACCCTAACACTGACCCTATGTGTATCACCAACGTTCCCATAACCCCAACAATAGAGCTGGCTTCTACACCGAGCAAATCTCAGACAGATTGATGGACCAGCCGAAATTTGCTCAGTGGGTGGCCCTGTCGTCAGGCTTCTGCCCAACGCCCTTCCATCAGGACACTGGAATTCTCAGCTGAGCAGTGACTGCAGCCACTTAGCATTAGCTGCAGTCACTGTTCCCGTATTCTGATAGCGGTACACCTGCCGGCTGGCACAATCAAATAGCCCAGTTGGGCGTTCATCCATCCATGCTGTTTAGTGTGCAGGGAGGGATCTGTCCAGCAGTCTGAACAAAAAGAAATCTAACATTGTATGTCCAGCTTAACCCTCCCTGGAATCCCAACACTAACCCTCCCTGTATTCCCAACACTAACCTTCCCTGTAACCCCAAACACTAACCCTCCCTGTATTCCCAACACTAACCTTCCCTGTAACCCCAAACACTAACCCTCCCTGTATTCCCAACACTAACCTTCCCTGTACCCCTGACATAAATCCTCCCTGAATTCCCAACACTAACCTTCCGGATCTGTCCAGCAGTCTGAACAAAAAGAAATCTAACATTGTATGTCCAGCTTAACCCTCCCTGGAATCCCAACACTAACCTTCCGGATCTGTCCAGCAGTCTGAACAAAAAGAAATCTAACATTGTATGTCCAGCTTAACCCTCCCTGGAATCCCAACACTAACCTTCCGGATCTGTCCAGCAGTCTGAACAAAAAGAAATCTAACATTGTATGTCCAGCTTAACCCTCCCTGGAATCCCAACACTAACCTTCCGGATCTGTCCAGCAGTCTGAACAAAAAGAAATCTAACATTGTATGTCCAGCTTAACCCTCCCTGGAATCCCAACACTAACCTTCCGGATCTGTCCAGCAGTCTGAACAAAAAGAAATCTAACATTGTATGTCCAGCTTAACCCTCCCTGGAATCCCAACACTAACCTTCCGGATCTGTCCAGCAGTCTGAACAAAAAGAAATCTAACATTGTATGTCCAGCTTAACCCTCCCTGGAATCCCAACACTAACCTTCCGGATCTGTCCAGCAGTCTGAACAAAAAGAAATCTAACATTGTATGTCCAGCTTAACCCTCCCTGGAATCCCAACACTAACCTTCCGGATCTGTCCAGCAGTCTGAACAAAAAGAAATCTAACATTGTATGTCCAGCTTAACCCTCCCTGGAATCCCAACACTAACCTTCCGGATCTGTCCAGCAGTCTGAACAAAAAGAAATCTAACATTGTATGTCCAGCTTAACCCTCCCTGGAATCCCAACACTAACCTTCCGGATCTGTCCAGCAGTCTGAACAAAAAGAAATCTAACATTGTATGTCCAGCTTAACCCTCCCTGGAATCCCAACACTAACCTTCCGGATCTGTCCAGCAGTCTGAACAAAAAGAAATCTAACATTGTATGTCCAGCTTAACCCTCCCTGGAATCCCAACACTAACCTTCCGGATCTGTCCAGCAGTCTGAACAAAAAGAAATCTAACATTGTATGTCCAGCTTAACCCTCCCTGGAATCCCAACACTAACCTTCCGGATCTGTCCAGCAGTCTGAACAAAAAGAAATCTAACATTGTATGTCCAGCTTAACCCTCCCTGGAATCCCAACACTAACCTTCCGGATCTGTCCAGCAGTCTGAACAAAAAGAAATCTAACATTGTATGTCCAGCTTAACCCTCCCTGGAATCCCAACACTAACCTTCCGGATCTGTCCAGCAGTCTGAACAAAAAGAAATCTAACATTGTATGTCCAGCTTAACCCTCCCTGGAATCCCAACACTAACCTTCCGGATCTGTCCAGCAGTCTGAACAAAAAGAAATCTAACATTGTATGTCCAGCTTAACCCTCCCTGGAATCCCAACACTAACCTTCCGGATCTGTCCAGCAGTCTGAACAAAAAGAAATCTAACATTGTATGTCCAGCTTAACCCTCCCTGGAATCCCAACACTAACCTTCCGGATCTGTCCAGCAGTCTGAACAAAAAGAAATCTAACATTGTATGTCCAGCTTAACCCTCCCTGGAATCCCAACACTAACCTTCCGGATCTGTCCAGCAGTCTGAACAAAAAGAAATCTAACATTGTATGTCCAGCTTAACCCTCCCTGGAATCCCAACACTAACCTTCCGGATCTGTCCAGCAGTCTGAACAAAAAGAAATCTAACATTGTATGTCCAGCTTAACCCTCCCTGGAATCCCAACACTAACCTTCCGGATCTGTCCAGCAGTCTGAACAAAAAGAAATCTAACATTGTATGTCCAGCTTAACCCTCCCTGGAATCCCAACACTAACCTTCCGGATCTGTCCAGCAGTCTGAACAAAAAGAAATCTAACATTGTATGTCCAGCTTAACCCTCCCTGGAATCCCAACACTAACCTTCCGGATCTGTCCAGCAGTCTGAACAAAAAGAAATCTAACATTGTATGTCCAGCTTAACCCTCCCTGGAATCCCAACACTAACCTTCCGGATCTGTCCAGCAGTCTGAACAAAAAGAAATCTAACATTGTATGTCCAGCTTAACCCTCCCTGGAATCCCAACACTAACCTTCCGGATCTGTCCAGCAGTCTGAACAAAAAGAAATCTAACATTGTATGTCCAGCTTAACCCTCCCTGGAATCCCAACACTAACCTTCCGGATCTGTCCAGCAGTCTGAACAAAAAGAAATCTAACATTGTATGTCCAGCTTAACCCTCCCTGGAATCCCAACACTAACCTTCCGGATCTGTCCAGCAGTCTGAACAAAAAGAAATCTAACATTGTATGTCCAGCTTAACCCTCCCTGGAATCCCAACACTAACCTTCCGGATCTGTCCAGCAGTCTGAACAAAAAGAAATCTAACATTGTATGTCCAGCTTAACCCTCCCTGGAATCCCAACACTAACCTTCCGGATCTGTCCAGCAGTCTGAACAAAAAGAAATCTAACATTGTATGTCCAGCTTAACCCTCCCTGGAATCCCAACACTAACCTTCCGGATCTGTCCAGCAGTCTGAACAAAAAGAAATCTAACATTGTATGTCCAGCTTAACCCTCCCTGGAATCCCAACACTAACCTTCCGGATCTGTCCAGCAGTCTGAACAAAAAGAAATCTAACATTGTATGTCCAGCTTAACCCTCCCTGGAATCCCAACACTAACCTTCCGGATCTGTCCAGCAGTCTGAACAAAAAGAAATCTAACATTGTATGTCCAGCTTAACCCTCCCTGGAATCCCAACACTAACCTTCCGGATCTGTCCAGCAGTCTGAACAAAAAGAAATCTAACATTGTATGTCCAGCTTAACCCTCCCTGGAATCCCAACACTAACCTTCCCTGTAACCCCAACACTGACCCTCCCTGTAACCCCAAAATGAACCCCCCCCCGTAACCCCAACACTAACCCTCCCTGTAATCCTCACCCTAACCATGCATTTAGTCTTCACACAAATCCTCCCTGGAATCCCAACACTAACCTTCCCTGTAAAAAATACTTGTTCGTCTGCCAGAAATCCAGTGAGCTCCTAGATACCTGGGTCTACAGCACTGAAACCCCAAGAAGTGTTGTCAGATCTTCCTAGTTATCCCGTGCAGGACTAGGGTAGGTGTTCTGTAGTCCAGCAGGGGAAAGCTAGGTGTTCTGTAGTCCAGCAGGGGATAGCTATGTGTTCTGTAGTCAAGCAGGGGATAGCTATGTGTTATGTACTCCAGCAGGGGATAACTAGGTGTTCTGTAGCCCAGCAGGGGATAGCTATGTATTCTGTAGTCAAGCAGGGGATAACTATGTATTCTGTAGTCAAGCAGGGGATAGCTATGTGTTCTGTAGTCAAGCATGGGATAGCTATGTGTTCTGTAGCCCAGCAGGGGATAGCTATGTATTCTGTAGTCCAGCAGGGGATAGCTATGTGTTCTGTAGTCAAGCATGGGATAGCTATGTGTTCTGTAGCCCAGCAGGGGATAGCTATGTATTCTGTAGTCCAGCAGGGGATAGCTATGTGTTCCGTAGTCCATCAGGGGGATTGTTATGTGTTCTGTAGTTCAGCAGGGGATAGCTATGTGTTCTGTAGTTCATCAGGGGGATTGTTATGTCTTCTGTAGTTCAGCAGGGGATAGCTATGTGTTCTGTAGCCCAGCAGGGGATAGCTATGTTTTCTGTAGCCCAGCAGGGGATAGCTATGTGTTCTGTAGCCCAGCAGGGGATAGCTATGTTTTCTGTAGCCCAGCA